TTCATTCTAGAATCCATCTAGATAGGATTTTCTAGAATTGTATTTGGACCATTTTCTAATTTTGAACTTTTATTTTATAAGCCCAAAGTCAATTTACATTCCTAAATTAACCCAATATTAGTTTAGTTTGTTGCTTCTAAGTTAACTCTTAAAGAATAACTCCTGTATGAACTATTAATACATCATCTGAATATGTAGAACTAGTTGATTCATAGGAGCTGATAAATAAAACCATTTCCAAATTTAACACAAAATTCAATTCAGATTAATTAGTAGAGACATATAAGTAGAGGCATCGAATATCACCGTACATCTCAAAGGCCAGCTCCTTCCTACCTAGTTAAGTAAAAGACTATAAAACAAAGAACACATAACCTATTTCTTATCGAAATGCAACCTAGATTAAGAAAACAATGTAAGGTCTGGAAGGATAACTAAGGCAGTTAATAGCTGCTGCAATTGGTAGGAGCAAAAGAAACTTTTCTCGCCGCAAGGTCATACTCCACTTGAAAATCAATCTGTGCCCAATTTCCAAAGATAGAAATACCAGTGGTGGGTACCACTGTCATGCAAATCAAGTTGTTGTCCAAGGCAATGAACATGTTGTTAGGGTTTAGCACAACATCAGCCCCAGTGAAATGAAAGACAAATTCAGGGAAATTCAGGCTAGAAGGGTTTCTGACACAAAACTCAAATGGATTTGGAGCATCTTCAGCAGCCTCCACATTAAATGCTTCCTTAACAGAACTTATGAAAGCAGCATAGATTCTCTGTTCAAGATGTGTCAGTATTGGCACTGAATCTATGATTATGTTGCCACCAGATTGACCAGTCAAAACGTTTTTTTGACCAACAGTTATACCCTCTAGGTTGAGGAGATAATAAGAGGGCAAAGAAGGGTTGATTACGAAGGGAGTGGACACAACTCCATTCGTTGGTGATTGACTTGGATAGCTCCCAAATTTCAATTTCCCACTTGAGGTTGAACTAAAGGGAACCATGCAATAGGAAAATTTGTGGCCAGTTTGCTCACCAAGTTGTGAGGCAAGTGATAATGGGCCTGGGCCAAGGCCCACAATGCCATTGGCCTTGCTGCTTATCTCAAAGGTGAAATTGCTGTAAAAGGCACATCCAAAAACGGATTCGGGAAAGGTTGCAGCTTGGCCCGTAGTTGACCCAAAACTAACAGTGTCAGAGCCCAGTCTCCCAATGGTGATTGAACTGCCACCATATTGTTGAAGGTAAATGCATTGCCTAGAGTTCCCACAATCACGTTTGTTTTGGGGGATCAGTGTGCATGCTTGTGAATCGCATGCAACTTCCATGTACGTGGAAGATTGAGTTGGATCATACAAAGGCGCATCTTGCGGGTAACATGTTTTACAAGGGGAACATTGCACCCAAGAGAGATCACTCCCTGTGTCAAAAATTGCAAGCCTTTCAACTTGTGGGGTGCCTAAGGAGAATCTCATGAGGTATTCACCATGGTCAGGAACCGGAGTTATGGCACTTTCAGCAGACGAAGAGGAGGAGGACGAAGGTGGTGAAGGTAAAGATGGTGATGGTGGTGATGGTAAGGGTGATGATGATTCATTTTGACCTATGAAGTCAAGTAGTTTGGATCGAGCAATTGATCGCATTGCAGCACTTTTCACTAGCTCGGTTTGAGTCATTTCGGAGTTGTACAAAGGGGACATGGGAGAGTGGCGTGGGATGAGATCAATGCTAAAACCCATTAGGGTTTTGCTAGCATCAACCGACAACACACTACAAAATGAAAAGATTAACGTTGTGAGCACAAAGGGATGCATGTTTGCGAATTGAAAGAGGAAAAGGATTGATGGACCAAGAAAGTGGGAAATGGATGATGGAGAAGAGTACCTTGAAGTGCTTTTATTTATAGTTTTTTAGTTGTATCTATCTAGTGAGCTTTTTTTTTTAAGTGACAAGATAGTTTTATAGTTTAATGAAACAAAATTTTGATTCGTGCAATATCTTTGAGTTACCTTTTACGGTGACTTTTTAATTGTGTTCCGTAGTTAGTTTGTCTTGTTCTTGTCTCGTTCTGTGGACGGCACTGAGCGGTGAGATTCTTCAATTTCGGTGTTACGTTTTGTAAACGCAAAGTTGTAATTAATATGTGACAATTGAACTAAATAAAAGAAATATCAAATTAAAAGAAAAAGGATGTGTCAAGCAAATTTTTTTAGTATAGCAAAGTAAAAGTTAATTTAATGAGTTAATAAAACTGGCTAAAGAGTTTTTTTTTTTCTTCTTTTTTTACAGTGATTTAGTTACAAATTATTAGATATATTTGGATGAATTTTTCTATGAACAATTCTATAAGGAAAAAGAGAAGAAGAAATGAGATGGGTTTCTTTATAATCTATAAAATTTAGTTTATAAATGGATTAAAGTAAGAATTTTTAAGAAAGTTATACTAGAAAAATTCCAAGAATATTTATAAATAACCATGTTCAGAAATATTTGTCATATATATATATATATATATATATATATATATATATATATATATATATATATATATATATATATATATATATATATATATATATATATATATATTAATTTTACTATAGTAAAAATCAAAGTTATGATTTTTTTCCTCTTATTATCGCTTTGGTTTTACACTAACTAAGTATCTAATTGGATAAAGTTAATTATACAATCACATCAAGGTATTTTGAATCGATCAATGACCAAAGTTTAAACAATGTTAGTATGAGATTCATTTTTATATTCTCACATTAATAATTACCTTCTCATACTTATCTTCTATAATCTATGTATAACTCATGCAATCGCCTTTGTTTTTTTCTTAAGTTCTCCACGATGTGTCCTTTTTCACACTTCAAGTCGAAAATTATTCGTGACTTTCGTGTTTTGATATTTTCTTTTTCTGTTTCATAAAAGATAAATTGCTCTCATATACTTTCCTAATATAAAACAAATTTTATTATTTATGTGTCTCTTTTCTCCTCTTAATTTAATTATGTTGTATAATGGGGAAAATTAAAAAGTAAAATAAAACAAATATAGTTTTGGCCTCTTTAAAATATTTATGATAAAATATTAAAAAAATAGATTTTATTAACTAATCAATTATATACTAGTAAAATAATAAGTAATAATATAATAGTCATATTAGATTAATTGTGTTGAACCTTGAAAACAAATTTTTTAACATCAAACTAAATTTGACTTATTTTAATTTTATAGGATAAAAAAGACAAAATATTTGAGGTACAGAAAAACATATTTTATCTCAAATGTTCGTTAGCCTTTATCATGTAAATCTCTCCTTTAAAATATTATTACGAAATTATTACACCCAATATCAATTTTTTTCCCCATTTTAGAGTTTTCAAGACAAAACACAAATAAATAAAAAAAAATATTTAGGGAATAAAAGCCTCTAACCAGTATATTAGAGAGACCGAAATCAAAACTAATTTTATCAGAAGAACAAAGTGGATCGACACAAAGAAAATAGAATTTATCGAGATACAAAATTTATCAATAATTATAAAATCTATTGATAAATCAAGACTATTAATGTATTATCTAGAATTAAAAGATTGTATATAAAATATTTGTCGAATAAAATATTTTAATAGATAAAAAAAATTATCAATGATTAAAATATGTGTATAATAATCTATTAGTAATTATTAACGGTCAAAATTTAGTAATAATTATTTGTCTTTTTTTTTGTTTCTCTTCTCTTCTTCCTTCATAACCTTTGTTACTTCTACTTTCTATTTCTCCTTTTCAGCTTCATGGTTTTCATTACCGCTATGGCTTTTATTTTTGTTACTATTGTCATAGTTGTATTCGTTATTACTACCTCTTCCATGCTCTCCTCCTTTATTTTTCTTTCCTTTCTCTCTTATTTCTCACTTATCTCTAATTAATTTACAATAAAATATGGTTTAACAAAAAATTTGGTTTCCAATTATCAATAGATTAATTGACAAATTTTCAAAAATTTCAATTACCAACAATTTTTTAAAAAAATCCATTACTAATTAATTTAGCAACGAATTTTAAAACAATTCAATTATGAATTTTACCCAGAATGGTCAAAACTTAAAGTGTAATTTTGACTCCAATTTTCCTAACAAAATTTATCAACAAAAATATATGTCAATATTATAAAAATTTCAAATTTTGATAAATTTTAATAACATATCCAGTATGGCACATTTTATAGTTAAATTATGAACATATCTATTACTATATGTATATTTTTTATGGTAATTAAAATTTTAAAATTAAATTTTGTTTATCAATGAACTTTTTTCTATCAATAAATTTCTATAGGAAATTTAATAATTCTTTTAGTGGATTAAATTGATATTAAAACCAGAAAATCGACCTAATTTGATATAAAATTTAATTTTAATTTATTTTTTAATTTTTATAGTACATATATTTTATGTGTGATATATGTGTTAGCTTTTGAATTTGTTTATGGAGTGTTTTAAGTATTTGTGTTGTGATTAAAAAAATTATTTAGATAGTAGTTATTTTACTAAATATGCTTTAAAATTTAAAGTACATAATCACATCATCTTTAGCTTTATTTATTATTTTATATAGGAGTACTTTATTATGACCCAACTATTATCTGAATATTTCAAACTGAAATCATTCTTAAACTGGTTTTTCAAAATTCTATATTATTGCCAAAAGATATAAAGTAAACTCATTTTTATATTTTATCTTCGGCTATATAAATTACTGAACGAATCCTTGGTTTAAAAATAAATAAGTTAGCAATCAAAGCACTAGTCACATGAAAACATTATAGCCAAATTTGTTATATAATAAAAATCCGTAAATGAATGTCAAAAGCCAGTTTCTTATTTAAAAAAAGGGGGCATTTCCAACTTGATTGCTTTTAAGTATAAACTAAAAGGCACGAATAAGCAATGTAAGTTGAATGTTAGTAAATTTTAAGTGTAACACAATAAACTATGAAGAGCCACTGTAATGCAACATTCATGACTTTTAGGGAATAAATTTAAACCTTAATTTATTTTTAAAAAAATAAAGTGCATGTTTAATTATTACACTAATCCCAAAAGACAGAAGGAAAACATAAAATTTAATTATTACAATAATCACCCTTTAAAATTTAAATACAAACCTTAATAAATGTGATGAAAATTTTGCATCTCAACTGTGTTAGCTCATTACAGTTTCATTGATAAGATATGAAATTTTTAAAAAAATAAGAAAAAAAGTATACAAAAAACATGAAGGACTAACCACTAGTAAAAAAAGGGGATTGGAAAGCGCTATATACGCTTCGGTTTAAGTAAACCCGAAACATATAAAAACGCGGTGGCAGAACCGTAAATAAAGCTAACATATATGCCTCGGTTAAGCTAAGACCCGAGGCAGAATAACGATATTGCACCGGTTAATCTAAGACCCGAGGCCTATATCACTGCTACACCTGCAACTTTACCTACTACGCCAGACTTAAAGGCATCGGTTCATCAGGAACCGAAATCGTAGATGATTTCCAGCACTTTATACCTCGGGCTGACCTTTTAACCGGTGCCAAAGCAAAAGCTTTTTTTCGCTGCCACTCTGCACTTAGCCTATTTGCGTCAAATCAGCACTTCCACGGCTTCTCCTTCCTCAGCTTCTCCTTCCTTATGCTCTCCATTCTTCCTCTGCGTCGCGGGTTCCTCCACCACTTCCACGACTCGTCGCGCCACCCTTGTGTTGCCAGTGCTCACCTCCGTCACTACTACCTCTGTCGGCGACACTGCTACCTCTGCCTCTACCTCCGACACTACTCCAGATCGCGAAGCCCAAAATCAGNGCCTCGGTTAAGCTAAGACCCGAGGCAGAATAACGATATTGCACCGGTTAATCTAAGACCCGAGGCCTATATCACTGCTACACCTGCAACTTTACCTACTACGCCAGACTTAAAGGCATCGGTTCATCAGGAACCGAAATCGTAGATGATTTCCAGCACTTTATACCTCGGGCTGACCTTTTAACCGGTGCCAAAGCAAAAGCTTTTTTTCGCTGCCACTCTGCACTTAGCCTATTTGCGTCAAATCAGCACTTCCACGGCTTCTCCTTCCTCAGCTTCTCCTTCCTTATGCTCTCCATTCTTCCTCTGCGTCGCGGGTTCCTCCACCACTTCCACGACTCGTCGCGCCACCCTTGTGTTGCCAGTGCTCACCTCCGTCACTACTACCTCTGTCGGCGACACTGCTACCTCTGCCTCTACCTCCGACACTACTCCAGATCGCGAAGCCCAAAATCAGAAAATCCCAATTGGTCGTTGTTCAACCTCGCGAGTTCGTCTCCTCCGCCTCGACCACCATCGGCGTTTCTCCCGCAACGGCGAGTGGGTGGCCTCCGCCTCGGCCACCATCGTGCGTTTCTCCCCCAACGGCGATTGGGTCACCTCCGCCTCGGCCATCATCGCGCGTTTCTCCCCCAACGGCGATTGGGTCACCTCCGTCTCGGCCACCATCGCACGTTTCTCCCCCAACAGCGACTGGATCGCCTCCGCCTCCGGTACCGTCACGATCTGGGGCACGCGAAACGGCCTTCAGTCCCGACGGCCTCCGCGAAACTTCTCTTTTGTTGATGATGTCTTTTGTTGATGTTGTATATTGTGCAATGAAGCTTTTGTGTTGTGTATTTCTGATATGTTGTTGTTCTTGTTGTGAACCCCCAAATGGCTGGACGGCTGAGGACGGCTGAAAAAATAAAAAAAAAACGTTACTGCCTCAGTTACCTGAAAACCGAGGCATAATCCTATTCTTTTTTACTAGGCCCGTAACCGAGGCATAAAACCTACCATTTTTTATCTCGTTTGTATACGCCTCGATTGTAGAACCGGGGCCTATAAGCAAAAGTAACCGGTGCTATTTCCTCTTACTGCACTAGTGAACCCTAAACTCATTCACAAATATAACAACTTTCAAAAACTAACAATATAAATTGAAAAAGACAAACGAAGTATAAAAAAATGAAAAAAGTAATACTTTAATTCAATATTAATTTATAATATTTATAAATACAAATATGATTAAAAGATAATACTTTACTAATGATAACTATCACTACAAAAATACATGGAATTACTGACGAAATTTCACCGACGGAATTATTTTCGTCAGTAAATGAGGCTTTACCGACGAAGCTTATCGATGGATGTAAAAAATGTAATTATCGACAGATATTTATCCTTCGGTAATTATCGAGGGACAAAATCTGTCGGTAAAGTCTTCGGTAATTATCGACGGACAAAATCCGTCGGTAAATCCGTCAATAATACATATTTTAGTTACCGACGACCAAGATCCGTCGGTAAAAAGAACGGCAAAATTCCTGCCCAGTTTTTCTCTCTCTACGCGAAGAAGACTATATTTTTCTATCTCACAAAACACTTTCGTCATTTTTTCTTTCATCTCATCTCAAGATCATTTCTCACCTTCTCTGCAACCATTTTTCTCACTCGTGCAACCATCTTCCCATACTATCACCGTTGTCATTGGAGAGTGCTACTGCTGCCGTTGGAGAGCACCACCGCTGTCGTGGGAGAACCACGCGAAGCGCCACCATTGTCGTTGGAGAGCGACACCGCTGTCGTTGGAGAACGCCACTATTATCGTTGGGGAACACCACCGTTGCCATGGGAGAACGCCACCACTGTCGTGGGAGAATCACTGTTGTCGGAGAACCATGTGGAGTAGTGCTGCCGTCGGGATGCTCAAAAACTAATTAGGGATTTTTCCCAATTTTAGGGTTTCTAAAACAATTAAGTAGAGCCTTTGATTTTGGTTTGGAATGAATTGGATTGTTGTTTTGATTTAGGAATGAAGAAAGTTTGATAAAAAAAATTAAAATCTGAGGAAACCGAGGAAGGGGAAAGAGGAAGAAAATGAACCTGATCGAGATATTTATCGACGAACTTACTGACGGCTTTTTCCTTCGGTAATTACCGACGGATTTTTGTGGTAATTATCGACGGATTTTTGTGGTAATTACCGACGAATTTGACCTTCGGTAATTACCGACGATCATAATAATTCGTCAATAAATATTACCGACAATGTTATTATCGACGGACCAAACTTCGTCAGTAAGCCGTCGAAAAAATAACATTACCAACGGATTTTGAACGTTTTCAACAGATTTTGGTCGTCGGTAATAATTATTTTTTTTTAGTGTATTTTTTAATAAAAATAGTCAACAATAAACTTATTGAACATTTCATTTTAATAACATATGGTTAAAAAAAATATCAAACTTAGTTATGTTAACATTGGAAGATGCTACCATAAAATCTTTCACCAAAATAAGCCTTCTCTGTACAACTTGTTCTGTGTATAAGCAAGTCTTTGAACGGTTTAATTGTTTGGATCCTTGGGACAAATGTATATCTATACTATACTATTATATAATATAATTTAATAAAGAGATTACTCCTTTTTGCTGTCCACATTTTTCTCAATTTTATCCTTCAAATAATCGTTTTTTTTTAATTTAACTATTTTTTAAAATTTAACCATTTTTTTAAATTAAATAAATAAAAATATCTACAAAATAAATTAAAAATAATTATTTATATTTATTTTTATAATTATAATTTTATATTTTGTTATTATAAAAAAGTGAGGCATGTGTGTTTTTACTAATTTGTATAATAACGATAGTGGTGATGGTAATACAAGTCACAAAGAATAATATTAATATCAATTATATAAGTAAGAAAATTTACCATTAGTCAAATACTAAATGACTCGTTTAAATTATTTGACACGTGTCAAAAGTCGGTGTCTTTATGTTTTTTTTTTATTTTATGGCAAATTAACAATTTTAGTCTAACTATTATATTTGTTATGTCATCTTATGTATATATATATTTTTATATTTTCAGGATTACTATTTCTTTGTTTTGATGGTCAACCATTATACTTAATAGTCAGAAGGAAATGATTGATGAAAACACTTAGGATGGTTTCTCACTATTTTTTCTTTTTCAAGTATTTTACTTCTATTTTTGTTGAACCTGATTATAGTTTTCGTGTGTTCATTTTAAAAGAAAACAAAATTTTCAACTATGTATCTTGCGCTTGTGCATTTTGTTTTATTATTATCGTATTTTCGTTGTTAAAGAACCAACTTTTTCATCTTTGTATCCGTCCCTCGAGAATGTATATATATTTTTCTCTTATTTTTCTTTTGAATGAACTTTCATTTTCATTTTCATCATGATTTATAATTATTGTTGGTTTGAAGTTTGTTTTGTTGTCATTTAAGTTATCTCATCTCTGTTCATGATGACATATTATGAGACAAGTTTCTATTTTGTGTTTGAGTTGTGTTTTTTGCTTTTGTATAATGAAATTTATTGGTTTGAAGTTTGTTTTTTTGTCTTAAGTTATTCCATCTTTATTGATCAACATGTATTATGACACAAGTTTGTATTTTGTGCTTGAGTTGTGTTGTTTAGTTTTATATGACGAAGTTATTGTTGAATACACAATGTATTTCTTTTGTCCAATATATTTTACATATTGTTCTATTGTGGTTTGTGTTTACAAGGTCATTTATTAAATGATAAAGAAATTTGACATGGTAAAAGATATTGATGGAAGAAGAGAAACCTTAAAGATTGTTGTCAAAATCATATATTTATGGTTTGTTGAGAATAGGGATTCCAATATACATATTGAGATGATTCTTATTAATCAAAAGATAATTTAATCTATCCATGCATGACTTTAACTTTGGATAGCATATATTAAATCTTAATTGTATTTATACATAATATGATAAATGATGTCATGGTCAAGGTGATGTCATACCTACCATGGTTAAGAAGAAAGATTTGGGTTTGTGGGAGGACAGGATAAAGGAAAATCAAAGTTATATAATGCATAATTTCAAAATCTTAAAAAACAAAGATCAATTTAGTGTATGTGACCATCCCTTTAATCTATTGTTCATAGGAGCAACATCTATAAGGCCTAAATCCATTGTCAATGTACCCTTATGGAGGTTTTCAAGTTCAAAAGTTTAAAGGACATCATTGATGGAAACTACTCTATTGATTTGTTATATGATTGAGTACAATGTAGTGTCGTGTTTCTGAATTGCTAGATATAATTTCTTAGTCATATTGATTTCAAATTATTTGTTCATGTACTTTTTATTTTTTACTTTTAGATGTAATTTGTGTTGCAGACAATGTTAAGAGTAAAATGATGAAAATTGTTATATTTGACCTAAGGGATTTAAGGTTCGTTAATATCATGTACATCATTTCTATATTTTACATTGCACAATTAATCATTTAATTTTGTGACCTATTAACCATATAGTGATGTTATAATTTGTTGCACTTTGTGGGATTTGTATTGTGCAAAGTTGCTTAGTAATTTAGGGCAAGTCAAGATTCAGAAAATGATGCTATCATTCTCACCTAGGTTAAGATAAAAGTCGTATCATGTTGTATGTTATTTATGTAATTTAGGTTTAATTGTTTTTTTGTTCCTAGTTTCGGTACAGTGTGTCAAGTTGGTTAAACCTTTTAAAAAAGTTTCAATTTTGTTCATACCTGATAAAAAAGTTTTAATTTTGTCCATATAATATAATTTGCCTCAATCAAGTACCTTTATCGGTACTATCAATACTTCAAAATTACTTCTCTCTTTATTAGTATTATCAATACTTCAAAAGTACTTCTCGTGAAAATTCAGTTTATTTTAAAAAATAATTCTTTAATTTTATTTAAAAAAGTTTTAATCAATAATTATTTTCAACATTAATGTCGGACAAACATGCTACAAGTCCATTTAGTATGCCTGGTCAAAGGAAAAAATAGTTGCAGAAACCATATGAGACGAACATTATTCTATGATGGTTAATAAAGAGAAATTCGCAGGCAAAAAGCACATGGAAGTAGAAATTGTGACACATAATGCATAAAAAGAGCTATGAGGTTGTATGCCAACTTGAAATTGAATTTAAATAATAATATTATAAGTCATATGACAGTTTTGTATATTATGTAATTTTTTATATATTTCAATTTATACGAAAATGAAATGAAATAACATAATATCATCAAACTAATTCAATAAATAAGTTAAATAATTAAAATTAAATTAAATTAAATTGGATGACACATAATAGTAATTAGTAAAGATTGGTACATAGTATTAAAATTCAAAAGTGAAAATAATTGAGTAAAATAAATAATTTTACCTTATTATTAAAAAGAAAATATATGAAATGAAATTACATCATAGAAAAATATATGTTGTTATATTTTGTGATACAAATTTTTCAAACTGTTTTTTGAAAGATAATTTTCAACTGATGTTTTATCATACAATATTTTTAATTATATTTGAAAAATAATTTATAAATAAACACTTATATATTGTTACTTTTTGTTTTATATGATTTCATTTGTTAAATTAGAATAAAAAACGTTTAATTATATAAAATCAATCATTTTAAATTGAAGTTTAATTATAATAGAATGTCCATAATTACTTTTAATTTTAATTTAATATTTTTTTTTGAACGAGATGATGATGAAAAAGCCAATGATTGGTTGGTTCATCCCGTGCTTCAAGTTAGAAGT